CGGGTGGTGCTAAATTTGATATATAAATAAATCAAGTTTGTGAAAGACCAACCCGTTTAACATGCCTATTATGCAAACTAAGTTCATTTGAAATCCGTGCATTATGTAGATCCAGAAAATGACTGAGTTCAGTCATCAGGTCAGCCACGTTTCCTGGCGAGAAAGACAACTGATGAATATTTAAATTTCTTCCTAGGCGGATAGTTAAGAAGAAAGAAAGATTTTTTCCAAATGTAGTTCCTGGAGGAACTTCCCTCCTTGTCAGTTTCTTTCCTCTGGCAACAGTCTGGTAGACTGTTTCAGACCCTGGAAGATTTATATCGACCTCCTAGCCAGATACAATTTTCACAAGAATGTACATCGTTTTCGAAAAGAGTTTAAAGTTGCCCTTTGTATGATTTTGGAAAGTAAGTTTTGGGGGATTACACCCCAAAAGAGAGGCCAACTCCTGCAGAGATTTAGAAGCAGTGAGAAAACCATTAGGCATTTCCTACTGGCGCCTGTAGGAAGAAATAAATCAGCTCATTGTTTTATAACCCCAAATCAAAGGATAAAATATGGGTGGAAACCCACATTCCACGGATTTTCTTTTCCAACCCAAGATTAAGATGGCTTCAGGGATTGAAAAGGGGTGTGTTTTTTCTGAAACCTTCCCCCGTGTTGGAGGGAAACGACACACATTGAAAACCCCACCAAGAAACATTTAAAAGAGATTTTTTTAAAAAACAAACAAGACAAGAAATAAAATCTTCTTTCAACTGTACAGTGTGTCGATTTGGTATGTGCGTTGTGTGCCCAATACTTATAATTCCTTCTTCTTAAGTTTACATTCATATTATATTCTAATCAACATTCTATATCATATCGTACCATTACTATACTATCATTAAAGTTTTAATTTCAGTTCCAGGCTATCTTTAAAAGCAAATCTCAACTCTTACTAAATTGTATTCATATTATAACTTATTCAAAAAGAGTCAATTATAATATACCATTACGATTACAGTATACTTCAATTTCTTACTCTTCTGTTTAGCCATTCATAAAATAGCAGATTAACAGATAATCAGAGTTGGAAGGGACCTTGTAGGTTATAAATAAAACCCAGATCTTATAATACAACGTTGCCTTCTGAAGTTGTGGGAGTGCCATCACTTGAGACTTTCAAGAAGAGACTGGGCTGTCACCTGTCACAAATAGTGTATGGTCTCCTGCTTGGGCAGGGGGTTGGACTAGATGACCGACAAGGTCCCTTTCAACTCTGTATTCTGCTATTCTTCCTTCCTTCCTCCCTCCCTCCCACCTTCCTCCTTTCTCTCCTTTTTTCCTTCCTCCCTCCCTCCCTCCTTCCTCCTTTCTCTCCTTCCTTCCTTCCTCCCTCCCTCCCACCTTCCTCCTTTCTCTCCTTTTTTCCTTCCTCCCTCCTTCCTCCTTTCTCTCCTTCCTCCCTCCCTCCCTCCCTTCTCCATCACTGGAGGTTTTCAAGAAAAGATTGGACTCCCATCCGTCAGAAATAGCGCAGGGTCTCTTGCTTGGGCAGGGGGCTGGACTAGATGACCTACAAGGCCCCTTCCAACTCTGAGGATCTGTTATCTGTGATCAGTTCACCAAACTGCTCAGAAAGTTAACAACCAGTTCTCCCGGATGGGTGCGAACTGGCTAAATCCCACCACTGATGTTATGTTCACGCTTACACTTGTTTCCTCATCCATGCTTGACCAACTAAGCTAAATCAATAAATAAAAAACAATCAATCCGGGAAGATCGGATGGTCGGGCGTCGCCACTCATCCTCCTGGCCTCTGGGCGTGTCCCCTACCTGTGTCCAAGTAAGTGTCATTGAAAGGACCGCCCTGCTACTTTTGAGTGACGGCTGGGGATTTATGGAAAGGATTTGCATCAGGAATAATTATCCTACGCCAAGTCCTTCCAGCCTGTATTATGCACGGTTTTAATAGCTGGTCTAATTCATGAATTAAAGGCATGGGCGGGGTGAAGAGGATGGATCGGCGGAAAAAAAAATTGCTACCTCTCTGTATAAAAAAGAGCTTTGGGCTCAACCACACACCTCTCGACAAACCTTTGTGGCTCCTGCATGTCTTCCAGGCCGTTGCAAGAGTTAAGTAAGTCTCGTCTTGACTTGGGAAGTTGGACCGAACTACGAAAGGGGGTTTATATATACTGTATTCTTCTTTCTTGGCTCTTTGGCCTTTTTAAGCACGATCCTGCGTCGTCTCTGATTTCTTTTGCTGCTGGGTTGTGGGAAAATGACCCCACCCCTCATGTGGGATTCTGGATAGAGTTGGATGCCCTCCATGCCTGGGTTAGTCTTCGCAGCCTTATGGGCTTTTGTGGCCCTTTAGCTCAGCACAAGGGAAAGAGGGTTCGGTGGGCTCCGGGTGCAAATGGGTTGCAGAGGCTGGTTGTGGGGAAGGCAGATTTTTGCGGTGGGTGGGGGGGAGTTAAATTCTTTTGAAATGTATTCAGGGAGGTTTGGGGGAATCAGACAGAGACAGCCTTGTTTTCTCATCCTCTGGCTTGCTTTTCTTTGCTCTTCTTTTCCTTATTTCTTTCATCCTGTCTTTCTTCTTTCCTCTGCTTTTGTTTCTTCTCCCTTCCTTTCCTTTCCTTGGTTTTTTTTTTTCTTTCCTTCTTTCTTCCCTCATTGCTTTCCTTTTTTTTCTGCCTCCCTGCCTTCCTTCCTGTTTTCTTTCTTTCTTTCCTCCTTCCTTTCTTTCTCTGTTTTTTTCTTTCCTTCTTTCTTCCTTTTCCTTCTTCTTTTTTTCTTTCTTATCTCCTTCTTTCCTTCTTCTGCTTGTCTTTCCTTCCTTCCTTTCTTTCCTTTCTTTCCTCCTTCTTTCTTTCCTTCCTTTCTTTTCTTTCTTTCCTCCTTCTTTCTTTCCCCTGCTGTTCTTGCTTTTCTTCTCCCTTCCTTGTTCTTTCCTTCCTTCCTTCCTGAATATCAATAACATAGGGCGCATCTTCTGTAGCAGTCTATATTTCAGTAACAATTGCTAGGTGTGGCAGGGATTGCAATTCAATCCTGCTTGCCTCGCAGAAACGTCTGGCTATTCTCTGTTCAGGGCAGTGGGAAAAACCAAATTTTCCTTCTTCCTTTCTCTTTTCTCCTCCCTGCCTGAAACTGGATGGCTGGATTTTGGCGTTGACTGTATCCGATGTACTTGTCAATGCAATCCATTTCCGGAGGCAGGAAGGAAAGAGAAACGAAGAAGGACATGTCTTAAGCGATGAGGTGTCCAAGGGGGCATCGGAGGAAGGATTGGCAACTGGCAAAACACACGGTACCTGCTTTTTGAGAAGAGACTGGGCAGCCTTTCGTCTGAAATGGGGTAGGTTTTAAGACCTCCAAGATCTCTTCCAACTCTGTCGTTCTATCTTCTGAGCAACGGGTCAGACTAGAAGACCTCCGAAGTCCCTTCTGACTCTATGATTGCTATTCCGCCCCATTGATGCAGCTGGGCTCCTCCCGTCTGCCCTGGAAGAGGTGACTTGCTTGGCAAAATTGCTCCTGCATACAGATCCGGACGATTTGCAATGTGTGATCGTTTTCCTTTCTTTTCTTTTTTCCCCCACCTTCTTTCTAGACTGAAGTCCTGACCTTCTCTAGCATGGCTTACCAATGCAAAGAGCCTTGCCTTCCTCCACCCGTCGACGTTGCCCAGTGCTCGGGGGACGCCCAGGATCCCTGCACATTGACCGACATGGCCCAGCGTGTCCAAACTTGTGATTCTGCCCCTCGGGAAGCCTGCAGGGCCTCCGGCAGCTTCTCGTACCAAACCAAGCAGCCATGCGCGGGCCCTCCCTTCAGGGTTGGGCTCTGCCCCAGGGCCATCTCCATCCCCTGCGCGTCGCCTTGCCTGTCCTTGCGCACCGAAACGTGTGCAGGATCTCCTTCCGTCCCGTGTGGGTCCATGGCAGTGCAGCCTGGTTCTCCAACAAGTACCACCTCCCGTCCTTGCTCGACGGAGACAGCCGATACGTGCGCCCCGCCGTCTCCGCCCGCAGGTGGATCCAGCTGTTCGGGCCACTGCTTGGGCCCTCAAGGCGGTGGGGGGACGTCCTATGTGATTCCGGGCTCCACCGTGTGCTTAGAACCATCCGGATGCGTCTCGGTGAAGCCCGGGGTCAGTTCTCCAGAAATGGAAGGCACAACTCTGTTTCTGGCATCTTACCAGCCTCACTTCGTGTAAAAGAAGGCCAGGTGTGCGATGAGTAAGTCTCATCGACCGAAGCCCTTTGTTTTGCAGTGGAAAACAAATAAACGTTCTCTTTAATTGGCATTAATGAAAGGGAGGGAGGGAACCGCTTTGAAAATTGCAATATCCATCCTTGCTTCTGGATGTCCTTTCCCGCTACGGGGGTCGAGAGTTTAGCTGCATCAGTGTCTAGTTTTGGGATGGCCAAATATTCCAAGTGATTTGGAGAAGACCCATCCCCAATCCCTGCCTTCGAAACAGCCAGGAAACACCTGGGTGTGT